CTTTTGGTTTGCTTTCTGCAATCTTGTTTTTCTTCAAGTTTTATAAGGAAGTTTCCAGTTTCTCTCTCATTGTTGGACTACATTGGAGAGAAAGAGAAAGAGTATGGGTGGGCAAAGATTGGAGTTTGCACTTACTGCCTGCTACATGTAGGGCAAGAGTAGGAGTTTTACAAAAAACAAGGTCCAGAGTCAAGTACGTAGCCACACATCTAGTAAAAGGTGGAGACAGGACTCACTCCAGTCAGTCTGGTCTCAAATCTTTTCTCATTCATCTACCCCTAGTGCCTTCAATCAAGAAATATCCATATCCTGCAGCTCAGCAAATTTGGCAAAGCTGATCATCAGAAACGCCATTGCACGCAATGTGGAGTTCTGCCAAGAGTGGGCAGAAAGTCAAGAGACTTGTGTTCTAACCCTGGCTGTGTTCAAGGTGTCAGATGACTTTGGACAATTTGTTTTCTTGCCCGTGGAAGCAGTGGCTGGGACTGGAGGTTTCAAAAGGGCTTTCCTGCCCTTAACCTCTGACTCTCTCAATATTTATTTGGGCATTACATATGCAATTAATATATTCATTTAGATATGCATATAATGCTCTCAGCAAGCCAGTGCTATTGCCATGCCACATCTAAATAACGCATGAACTCATTCTGCTTCTATAGAAAACTGAGATCTTTAAATAGTTCCCTGCTATTGCCTCACCCAGAACTACTGATAAAGACAACTGCATTCACTGCAGCATTATTTACCAGCCAAAGACTGGCAACAATTCAAACACCAGTGGATAGAGGACTAATTAAATAAACTATGGCATGTCGTTGCAATGGAATACTATGCAGACATATGAAAGATTTAGGGGACTTAGCCAATACTATCTAGGCTGGGATTCTGGGACACACATTCTCATATTTCCCTCCTCCCTGATTGACTGTCCCGTCTCAGTCACCTGTGTCGGACCTTCTTCCTCTTCCCAACTTCTAAATGTGAAAAGGACCCAGGAATCAGTCCCTGGCCTTCTTCTGTCTATATTCTCTCTCTACATTCAATCCCAAAGTTTAAAATAGTGTCTGATGATACCCAAACGTCTATCTCCAACTCTAGCTTAAGCCATGCCCTCTAAACTAAACATCTCATTGCTTTCTGAATATTGTATTCATTAATATTTGAGTGCCTATTAAGGGCCAGGCACTGACTGTTCTAGGCACTGAAATTACAGCAGTGGAAAAACAAGACAAAATCTCAGCCCTCCTTAACATTCCAGCAGCAATACCAGAAAATAAACAAGGGAATGGTAATTATATTCTGTAATGCCAGGTAGTGGTAAGTGCTGTGTGGAAAAATAAAAACAGTAAGAGGACAGAAGTGATGGGAGCTCTTTGAGATGGGATGACCAGGGAGGGCCAACCTGGGGAGGTGACATACAGGAGTGACTCATGCCAAGGACAGGGTGGACGAGCCTTCCAGGTGAAGAGAACAACACGGACAAAGGTACCAGGATGGGGATGTGTTGGCACATTACAGAAAAAGGAAGGAGGCCAGTGTAGCTAAGGAGAGTGAGAGACGGGAGTCGGGGGAGAGGACATCACAGCAGCTGACAGGGGATGACCCCATGAGGTGCTGTGACCATGGCAAGGAGTGTAATTAATGAATATGTGTGCCGATATAGAACAATCTCTAAGATGTATTGTTCCATGAAACAGCAAAGTGCAGCTGCTGCTTAGACTCCTTCTAGAAGGACACACAAGAAATTGGAAAAGGTGGTTGCCTCTGGGAATGGATACCAACGGGGAGACAGTAACAGACAAACCTATTTTTCAGTGATAATTTTTTGTACTGTTTCAATTATCCCCAGGGACATGAATTATTTTTTCAATTTATAAAAATCTCCTTCTGTCTGGTCACCACTGGTGGTATTCTAACTGGCCCAGTGGACTACGCCACATTTGCCTTATCAACAGAACTCCTCAGCCTCATCTATTGCCTCCCAGGGTCCTTAAGCTTTTCAAGTTCACTTCGTTGTCTGAATGGAGATCACTGCCTCCTGTAGGTTTCTTCTTGTTTCATTTTGATTGCAGGAGGGAGGTTCCTCACCTCCAAGATCAAAGACCAGAGTCTGTCCTTCTCCTGACCTCTTGGCTCTTCTGTGGAAGGATACTTCTCCACTCCCCTCCCAAGGAAGCTAAGAGCTTTGCTGTCCCCAGGTTACAGTGTCCCCTCCTCTCCCAGTGGCTCCTGGTTGTTCTAGACCTTAGGCAGCCAATTCCAGGGTGCACCAGTCGCATTAGTTTGGACAATACAATTTTTAAAGGACAGCCAGAATGTGCAAGAGGCGAAGGAGCTGTTTCCCATGCCACTGTTTGTCCCTGGCCTGGCCCCTGCAAAACTTGAGACCCAAAGCCATAGCTGTCTTGATTCACAGATGAGGAAACAAGCTTACGGAGTGCAATACTTGTCCAAAGTTGCACAGTGAGTTTATGAAAGAATTAGGACTTTGGGAGGCCGAGACGGGCGGATCACAAGGTCAGGAGATCGAGACCATCCTGGCTAACACGGTGAAACCCCGTCTCTACTAAAAAATACAAAAAACTAGCCGGGCGAGGTGGCGGGCACCTATAGTCCCATCTACTCAGGAGGCTGAGGCAGGAGAATGGCGTAAACCCGGGAGGTGGAGCTTGCAGTGAGCTGAGATCCGGCCACTGCACTCCAGCCTGGGCGACAGAGCAAGACTCCGTCTCAAAAAAAAAAAAAAAAAAAAGAATTAGGACTAAAATTCAGGTCCCCAGATCTCCAGTTCCAGGCTCTTTCCAGCTAGATCGCCCACCCCAATCCTAAGTCCAACCCAATTAGCCTTTCGCACAACTCCATGCTTGACTTTTGGAAGGAGCTGAAGCAAGAAGAGGGACGAGGAGGAGAGAATGAGTTCCCAGCCAAGGCAGCTTCCAGAGCCTCTGAAGGGGCACTAGTCTCTCATGGATTTGGCAAGTGCTAGAGGCCAGCTCATGAACACTCCTGGTTTCTTTTAGGGGCACCCTAGTAATCTCCTTGGACCTCCTTTGCAGACCCCAACACACACATGATTTCCCTCCCATGCTCAAAAAAAAAAAAAATCAGTCAGGTGTACTTTAAGTTGCCTGCAGAAACCTCATACAAAAAGAGGAAAAAAAAAAAGGACGGGGGGTTGGTAATTTCTTTTTTCTTTTTTTTTTTGTATTGAAACAGGGGTCTCCCTAGGTTGCCCTGGTTGGTCTCGAACCCCTGAGCTCAAGGGTTCCAACCGCCTCAGCCTCCCAAAGTGCTGGGATTACAGGCCACCGCACCCAGCTGGGGGTTGGTAATTGTAAAAGCAAAGATCAAATGATCAAAAAAGCAATGCTTCTCTTTGGTAATGCATGATCTTAAAGAGGAATGTTTAAAAAAACACCAAGGACATGAGATCCCATTTTTAATGAATTTATTCATCCAAGGTTACATACTCACACACACTCACCTGTCCTAGTCAGAATGCACAACAAGATCTGAGAATAACAGGTCTGATAGTAGAGAACCAAGAGGAAGCTTTAGGAGTAGCCTTCCTATAACACTCCCAAGAAAGTTCATTGTTTAGAGTTTTTATCCAGTGCAGGGGATGACAGTGTCATACAATCCAGCATTGTGTGCAGAGACATTACCTGCATCACGTGTGCTTTGTCTGGCAATGCTGCAGGTCTGTATCCACACAGCTATGTTCCAGCCTCATTCACATGGAGGGTCCTGAACATACATAGACTTTGACTGCTTCATGCAGAAACCTCACCAGTTGCTCTTGCTGTGCTTAGAACCACAGATATCTGAGCAGCTTCTGAGGATGACCTTAGCCAAGCAGCTCCTTTGAAATTATGGGACTGGCTCTAACCTCTGACAGTACTCAGTTACTAATAGCAAACCACATTCTAACTTACCAGCAAATCAGTAATTCTTACTGCAATTGCTATTCCTTTAGGGGAATGTATATTATTATATTATTTTGGATTGCTATTTTATTAATAATTCATAACCATAAAATAAAATGAAAATAATAGCTACTATATTTTATTGAACACTTTTCTGTATGCTAGGTGCCCTTTTAATCAAATGGCCTGAATATCTCATTTAATGTTCAAAGCAATCTTAGTAATAAATTATGATAATCCCCAGGTAACAAAACTGAAGGGATGTTTGATAAGTTGCCACTTGTACAGCTGATAAGTCAGGTCCACCTGACTCTAACATTCATGTTTTAACCACCAAGTTACATGATCTCCCGTTCCTGAGTATTTACAGCATTTCTAATATGCTGCAGGCATCATAAAGAAAGTGATTCTGTTGTAGACTCTAACCCGGAGCTTTCTGCTAGTTAACCGAAGGGGCAGAAATAAACACTAGATTTATCCTCACACTACTGCTGCCATGTATGTGAAGAAAATCCTCCTTCGATAGGAAACTGTGGAACTTTTATATGCACAGCTACAGTTGAGATCTGGGTTAGGTAATTCATTCCCCTAAAAAAATCTTTATTACACCATAATGCACACTATTAACTGGCAATATGTCATTAATGTAATTTCTTTCAGTAAGATTGAATTAGGACCTACTATGAGCTATTCATTACATGAAAATACAAATAAATAAAACAAGATGAGGTCCCCGGACCCCAAGGAACTCACAGAAATTTGTATTTGTGATTAGAATTGCCATGAAAGTACAAAGTCCAAGAAAGCTTAGAGTAATTCTGTCTAGAGGAATCCAAGGGGGCTTGGCATTTGAACTAGATAGGAATTTAAACTGGGTCTTGAAGGATGAGCAGGAACTTCAAGGCCAACAGAGTGCATGAAAGAGAACTTCAAAGGGAAAATACCATAGAGAGGCTTGGGATACCACTGTCAGTGCCAGCAGAACAAACAAGCACCTGTGTTACCACCTAGGTGGTAACAAATGAGATTAAGAAGGACAGCTGGGTCCAGATCATAACAGGCCTAGTAACTCACGTGTTAAGAAGATGGAACACCATCTGCACACAGGAAAACGGTGAGCCATTAAAAGTTTCTGAGCACAGGAGTAGAGCAGTCAAAAAGCTTTCCTGGTGAAGAAAGATCCCTCTGGAGCCCAAGTGGCTAACAGATTAATAGGTATCTGGGTCTGGATAGATTTGGTGGCTCTGAATATTTCATTAAATGAATTTCCTAAACACAGAAAGTAAGATACATTTTCATGTGTTTCTCTCTCTCTCTCTCTTTCTCTCTATGGCAACTAATTGTAATTACCTCAGAACTCTGAGCTCAAGAAGATATCTCCTCTGTTTACCTTCAGAAAGAACAAGGCAAGGGTTTACTCTGAGTATTAAATGTGCATTTTTATAGGTTTAGAGCTTAATTAAATAGCGTTGAAATCCATATGCAGGTTATTGAAAGCGTAAGTACCTGAAATGATAGGGCAAAAATACTTAGAAAGTTGCCATGTTAAAGCATTGTTATTAAAACAACAGAAAATGTCTGTTAAAAAACAATTTACTGCACCCTGGGCTCTGTCAACTGCAGCTAAATCCATGTCTCTTGGGTTCTTAGAGCATCTTTCTCCACTACAAAGAAAGTCAAGGAAGGAAATATGATCCAGTCCACCCCAGATACCTCCACACCTCCCCATTCCCCACCACATATGTAGGCAGTGCCTACCACCCAACACTAACATCATAACCCAGTTCTACCATTGTGGTGTACGTGACTCCAAACGTTCTTTAAAAGTCAACCCCAAAAAAAAACACATTAAATTAGGGTAATCACCTGGGACAGCAGGGCAGTTGAAAAAGGAAGCAGTGCCACTAGTCAAACACAAGGGGCAAACCCTCGTGATATACATCAGCATATATATTCAGTTGGTCATCTATTCATTGAACGATGAGAGAGCACCTGATATATGCCCAGCACTGGCCCGCGTATTGTGAATGCTAAGAGAAATCAGAAACAGCCTTTGTCCTCCATGAACTCCATCTATCTCTTGACATTTACTACAATTCTATAACTGCATCATTCAGAGGAGGAAACTGATGCTTAGAGACACTAATTCACTTCAAGATCAAAGATCCCATCCAGGGGGAATTTGGAGTGAGACAAAAGGACCAAAGTGAGAATTAGGTGAGGACTGAGCCTCTGACTCCAAGCACAAACTCAGGAGGGCACATGTCATAAAAGAAATCCTGGAGTCTGGGGGCCAAATTTACACAAGGGGACTGCAAGCGAGAGGACAAAACACGACCTAGGCAAGAAGCAGTGTGGACTATTGTGTTCCCCCAAAAGCCATCTTAGCACTAAAAACATGAAAAAGAGATTAATTTAATATCCATAGTAAAAATATTCAAGAGGCAGAGTATATAGTGATAAAGTGTGCCGCCTCTGGAGACACAAAGTCTTGGGTTCAAATCCTAGCTCTCCACCTTTATAACTGTGGACAAGTTATGGGCAAGTTAATAACTGTGGGCTGGTTAGTGAAGTTTGCATGGGCTGATAACCTTACCGCAAGGAACTCTTGTGAGAATTACGTAAGAGACAACATATGCAAAATGCTTAGTGTAGTGCCTGGCACTCAGTGAGAATCAATAAAAGTGAGCTATGATGCATCAAACTCAATAAGCCCCAAAATGAAATCATTATCTGTTCTCAAAAACCTGTTTATTCTGTGCCTGAATTCTCTATTGGCATGATTTCCACCCACTCACCAAAATCAGGAGCCATTCTCAGTTCCATTTCTCAAACCACCACCCTTCCACCTTCCTCTACTATAATCATCATCACACCTAACATTTCTGGTACCTTTCTAAGTTTGAAGATGCTAAGCCAAGCACTTTAGAAGATGACCTTCTTTAATTGAGCAGAAGAAAACCCTTATGAGGAAGATACTGTCATTATCGTTATTTTGCATTTGGGGAAGGTGTAACTTAGAGACATTATGAAACTTTCCTAAGGTTCCACAGCTATTAAGTGAGAGCAGAAAGATTTTATAGACAGTCTGAGTCAAAACCCATGCACTTAAACACTACACTCTATAGCCTCCCAACCAACAGGTTGCTCACTAAGCCCCACAGGCTCCACTTTCCAATTCCTCTTGGCTCTACCCCGTCACCACCCCTGGGTCACATCCTGCTCTGCTAAAGCACAAGCACACAGTGGGTTGTATTTTGGAACAATCGTGGAGAGCTTTGAATGTCAGGCTGATGGGGAATTTGACCAAGGAGGAGCGTCTGAACCTGAGAAAGAGTGTTGCTGAGCAAGGGGCAGCCCCGTCAGCGAGGGTGGACTGGAAACACAGAGGCCGGGGAGGAGACCAGTGCATCAGACTAGATGTGAGGTACAGAGGGCCTGAAGCAAGGGAGTGGGAGTGGAACAAAAAGAAAGGCTGGATGCGACAGACATTACCTCACCAGGCACAAATACTCTCGAGGCTGGAACTCGGTTTAATAATTCTGTTACTAGGGCAACAGCAAAAGAACCTATCTCAGAGAGAACCCATCGTAGCCTGTTTCTGCGCAGAAGAGTGGTGGCTCTAAGCTGGGAAAACAGCGTTGAAGGCAAGTGGCCAAGTGACGCAGCAAGACCTGTGGATCAAGACTTCACATAGGCATTTTTTAGACCTATCACCCTCTACAGTTTGGGGAGTAGAGACATTTGAAACAGCCTTTCCAAGAAGGAAGATAGCAAGATCTAGGGAGCTGAAGCTACTGAAGCCCCATGACAGATTAGCAATACTGCCTCTGATTTTTATTTTATTTTTCTTTGAGCCAGGGCCTCAGTCCATCACCCAGGCTGGAGTGCAGTAGAACAGTCACAGCTCATTGCAGCCTCAACTTCCCGGGCTCAGGTGATTCTCCCACCTCAGCCTCTGGAGTAGCTGGGACTACAGTTGTGTGCCACACACTTGACTAATTTTGTATCTTTTGTGGAGATGGGGTTTTGCCATGTTCCCCAGGCTGGTCTAGAATTCCTGGGCTCAAGCAATCCATCCATCTCAGCCTCTCAAAGTGCTGGGATTACAGGCGTGAGCCACTGCACCCAGCTGCCTCTGATATTTAGACTAATCTAAGGACACCAGAAAGAGGTAGGGGAGGGATGCCTTTGCCACATCTGTCATCATGGTAAAGAGTTCAAATGGCAGCATGTCTGGCAACAGAAGTGAAAGCATAGATCCAAAAGCTGACCACTCAGCTATCTGCTTTTCTTTAATTTGGTATCACTGGAACTATGGCCAGGTCTTAAAGGTAACTTTCTCAGTGTGTCCAGGAAGTGAAGTGCTAGGAAGAGCTTACCTGTGGAAGTGGATTCATGAGCTCTAGGTGGGAAGTACTGATGCTCTTCAAGGCCCACAGGAGAGCAAGCCTTCTTCCTACGAATCCCCTTGCTCCCGCTCCATTCGTCCTTTTGTCCTTTCAGGAATATTGTGATGAGATAGCCCTCATTGCATCATTCCATTCATCTCTTTGTCAGCCACCCAGCCAGAAAAGAAATTCCTTTCAAAAACATTAGGAAATCTATGTTCTATCCAGCTGCATTCTCACCAGCCTAGGTACCTAGATATTGACTCATTTTCTGAGTAAGCTTAGGCAAATTGTTTTTCCACTTAATGTCCTTACCTGGAAAAAGAAAAAATATATATATATCTATATATATGTATATCTATGTGTATATGTGTGTATATATGTGTGTGTGTATATATAAAATATATACATTAACCTTAATCTCAAAGGTTAATATAAGAACTTAAAGCCTGAAACATGTCATAAGCCTTCTGAAAGACAAGGAAACCCAAAGCATAAATAGACCATATTAAAAACAATAGTTTGATCTGGTCTGAAGTCAAGGCACCATTTAGTGTTAGAGAGGGACAATGCATTCCATGGAGTTGATGAAAACAATAATGATCATTTTGAGGCACCGGTGCTGTACTACAGCTCAGTAGTTAGGGCTTGTGCCCAGTAGTAACACTTCCTGTTCCAATACAGCCTTTGTCACTCACCAGCTCTGTGACTGCGGGCGAGTGGCACCTCTTGGAGCTTCTGTTTCTTCATTCATAAGATGAGGGTCATGCAATATGACTCATTGGGTTGCTGGGAGGATCACATTCTTGACACAGGGTAAATAGTAAACGGTGGTTATCATGTTTCCTTAAATCACAGGCAATCTCTGTAACAACACTGGAGAAGCAATATTCATCATCTCTATTTTACCAAAGAGAAAACCAATGCCCATAGAAGCTCAAGTGTGTGCCCAAAGCCACCCACTGAGGAATCTTCTCACTACAAAGCTCACACTGTACCACAGTTTTCTCTCCCATACTGAAATCTACAAGGCACCTATAAAGGGTCCATATTCTCGTCCCAAATCAATGGGCTTAGACAGCTGCCATTATTGGCAGTTACAAATCAAGTTTCAAGAGTAAGGACTGCTGCACATAAGCTTAGCCATGGGCAACAGTTTATTGATTTGCTATAAGCTGAAAACATGATCCAATTCTGCCCCTAAAAAGGGTATACAATTTACAGGCTTCCCCTTGGATCCTCTGGACAATGAATCCTGCAGAAGTGTAGAATGTGGATGAAACCTAGAAATCAAAGATATCCCTGGGGAATGCAACAAACGGGAGTGATTTCCTCTGGCCCTCTGGCCTTTACTGTGTTAGGGTCTGATCTCCTGAGTGGAGACTCCAGCAGCCTGAAGGGAAAAGACAAAAATAGTTTCTACCAGCTGGCACAGGAAACAGAACCAAGACTCATGAATAGACAGATACATACATATTTAGCCCTTAGGCCTCAGCCCTCCCGGCATGTTTTGGAACTCTTTTTCCACTTTCAGGCTGAACTTCTTGTCCCCAGGCACCACAACTGCTGAGAGATGACTTTGCTGAAGAGGGCCCAGGCAGTGTCAAAAGTCTGGAGTGAACTGGATACCATAAGTGGCTCCTACACCAAAGTCCTTGAGACTGTGACATTCTTTAGACCTGAACCCACAACATTCCCTGCCTGGGGAGCAGTTTAACAAAGTACTGACTTGTGTGCCCCTACGTTGCTAACTCCATGTAAGTCCTAAGATGAGCACATTGGCAGTTTCAATGGAATAAAATGGCACGTGCACTTCCTTCTGCTATTTTTCTCCTGAGAAAATAAAAGCATGCCAAAATTAAATATCCCTTACCACTTGCACCCAGACAGCTGAGTGGACTATTTACTAGCTAACGTTCATGGGCTGCTTTATAATCGCTTGACTCTTAGTTGCTTGGGCTTTGACACTTCAATCATCTGTTCTCTCCCTTCACAACCGAAGCTTGATGGAATTTTAAAACTGGGAAAGCCTT